GTTCTCTTCCTCGCGCAGACGGGCAGCAGTCGGCCTGTGCCGACAGCTGCGCAGGGCTGTGGTACTTGTATGTTACTTACTACCACAAGTATAATGTTGAGGTATGCCCAGAAAAAACGTTTATAGCCCCGGCCTGTATTAGAGACCGGCCAATATTTACCTCCTCTGACAGCGAGACCGGCCATTATTAGAGACCCGGCCGCTATTGGAATACAGGCCAATATTAGAGAATTTACGGTATATATATATATATATTGCACAGGGTATTAAATAGTGATTGCACATTAGTTATTTCAGTTATTAGTGCCACATTGTAAAGTCTAATGGGAGCAGGGAGGAACGACCTGTGGTTAAGTTACTTCAGATGACGTGTGTTGTACTATAGAAATAAACTTAACTGAAGTTACCCCCAAAATAATAACGTTTGTCATAAAAACGCAATAAAAAAGGAATGGTTTCGGTTTGCCAGTACAACCGAATTAGCACAGCTTGAAGCATTTGTTTTAAAAGATTAAAAGCAACATTTTCTGAAGCAATTTCAACCCTTGGTTCAAAACATAACAGACTGGCGACCTATCCAGGGTGTACGCCGCCTCTCGCCTATAGACTGCCAGAGATAGCCAGCGATCCTGACAGAATAAGCTGGAGGAGACGGATGGTTCAACACATAATATGTGTTGTTTTAATGCATTAGACATCATAGAAATATCTTAATGTTATATATAAAACAATGTTAAGAAACGAAACAAGCAGTTTTTCTGTTCTACTTTGTGTATTTCTATGCAATTTCCATGACCAATAACCTAGATTTCTTCTTTAGTGACACATTCTGGTGACGTTGTTTTATCTGGAGAACCTGTCCCAGCTAGTAATGTTGCAGAACATGTTATCAGTTGATGCGAACATGTGCACCCCAGCCACATTATTCACAGCAAAAATGGAGGATTGGGAACAGCTCTATCCCTTACTGGAAATTAACCCAGTAGGATCCAGCCTTTCTATATGCGACAGTTGGTCGGTGACCAGTGACCGCTCCACTTTCTGCAATAGCACGAATTTTAAGAAAAAAAAAAAATACACATTTACTGAAAACTTTTTGCTTTTTAAAAATAAAGCCATCTTTGCCAACTTCACTGTAAATTGTACATTCAGTAACACCCAGTGCAATAACTATATATATAAATAAAAATCTATTCTATATAATCTATATAAATACCCATGTAAACACCCTGTGCAATAACCCTGCATAATGATCCTACTATAAAAAAAAAAAAAAAAAAAGCTGTCATATATGGATGCAATGTATATACTGTATATATCACATGCAACCTTTTTCTTCCTTTGGTACCATCTTCTTTTTTAACTATTAGAGCTGATGTAACAAGTACATTTCTCCACTGTGAGATTAATAGTCAATCAATCAATCAATCAATCAATCAATCAATCAATCAATCAATCAATCAATCAATCAATCCAGTAAAGCCTCACTAGTGTACAACTTATAATAGGAAACCATGTAAACAAATAGTAATCTGAAGGCCTTTCAAAATTGCAGAAATATTTCTGGATAATTTAACAATTCCTAAACAACAAATTAAGAAGAATTAAAGAACCATCAATAACAAGATTTTATTATGAAATAATTTCTTTTTCCCACAATTTCATCTATAGCAGCAAATATAATCATTATAACATATAGCAATAATGACAGCTGAGGATGCATCACTTTTATTGTGAAACTCTATATAAAACACTGCCTATTGCCTTATTATTACTGTATAACTGATTTTAATACGCTTATATGCTGTTTAAACAAACAATAAAAGTCCTATTTAGCTGAATGTAGAATAAACAAAAGAGCCAACTTCCATAAGGTTTAGTGTTACACTCTGAGCCCTGCTGTTGTAAACATGTCTGTGCAGCTGTAGAGCAGCACTATAAATAGTTCATGACTGACTGGCTGCTTTCCTTCTTTGGTTATTGTTGCTGAATCTTATATTTACACCCTGATGATACAGAAAACAAGCCTTCCATCTCCTGTCAGGGTTCAGCGCATGTTTACCTCCTGGTGTGGTGCTAAAGAGAGTTCCCCCCGGAGTGGTGGAGTACTCCTTGGGCATGTGGGCTGCATCATGGATGGCGATCCTACGGACAGCCGGGATCTCCAGGCTCCTGGAGGTCTGTCCTGCCGAGGACATCTCGGTCCCAGAGCAGCGTCCCACAGCAGACGGTAAAAAGGGTTTAATAAGCCGCAGGTTTCAATGTGCAGGCCTGCTGAGAGGTCGATGTTCCTCCACGTGGTCGAAAGGAAGGGGGAAAAAATTCTAAACAAGCTGCACCAGTACTGAAACTCGTCACGTGATTAAAGCGCCCTGATTGGCTGAAAACAGGGGGCGTCAGAAAAATATGATTTTGGGATATGTAGTTTTCATTTAGCTAACTTTCTAACTTTTTCAATCATTACTTAATCATTACCATTGAGGATGACAATTAATTTGCTGAATTTATAACACAAGACTTATAATATCTTTTTTATTTTATTTTACTTTTTTATTATTTTTGTATGTTTTTTTCTTTTATAATATTTTATAATATCTCGAATTAATTAACTACATTAATGTGTATTGAACACCTAATTTGACCTGTCAAGGTCAGCACAATATGTTAATTTATTCTAATGCTAATAAATACATATGTTTTTAACACTATAAAGCTCCAAATTCTTTTGGTTACATTGCATTACAGTCAGAGACAAAAATCTTATTTTGGAAAATAGCATTAAATTGTTCACACTGGGTTCACACAGGACATCAAAATCCATGGTTCTCAGGCTGGGTTGCGGTCACCAACCAGTCTTGTAAAAACGGATATTTAGAGCAAAGGTACGTGTCAAAATATATCCTGGTTTGTGTTAAATGTTGAGAAAATGATTTCATACACAAAATGATTTATCATAGGGTGAAAGACCTGCCTGCCCAAGCAGTGTCTCTTATTTGTTTTTCAAGGAAATAGCAACTCTGATTACTATTAACAATACAAATACATTTAGTGCTAGCACCATCATCTGCCACAAACTCAATTCATTCCAAAATTCCAAAAGCAATAAGATTGTGTTTGTGGATTTATATACGTAGGGATCAGGGTAACTGGTGGCAACCACCGTTAATGTCAGTTTATGTCTATTCAGTTTGTGTAATCAAACATTTGCTCTATTTTTACTACATGTGGTATGAGATATTAGGAAATCAGGTTTGATTTTGAGGTAGAAATTTTGGTTAGAACTGTCCTACTTTCCAACTTCAAAGTTCATCTTCAGATATATATAAAGGAAAAATGTTTTGCCCATCTGTTGTTCAATCTCATTTCTTAAGATCCAGTTTGAACTTCTCATATTTGTATTATTTTGTGATTATTTGTTTCTGAGTTACCGTACTTCTCCTAAGGGTCCCTTAGGAGCAAGAGATAAGCTAAAAAGAGCCAAGACATCACAAAGAGTTTGAGTTGAGAAATTTTTTTTAGCATAATTTCAGAAAGCATTTTCATTAGCATCTCAATATATTCCCAGTTATTAAAAACAGATGTCCTCTGAACTTTTGTCAGTTAAAAACATTAAAACACATGGCTTATTAAGCTTTTAGCAAAGAAAACAATCACACATTATGTTGCGTCTTTTCTGTTTATTAAGTCTTGTAAATGGTAAGAGCTGGTGTACAAGATAACATGTTCTATACATATCTTCCTGTTTGATTGAAAGGCTTGTATACATATTCACGTTTGTTTATCCTCTCCAGGACAATACAAAAGAAAAGAAAACAAATGGTCATAGCTACAAAGCCTCTACATTCCCCATGATGTGGGTGTCGGCCTAAACTAGATAATGCTTAAAGAACATCCATAACAACTCTATGAGGGTGCATAGCATTCTAATTAAATATATTTTATCATATATTTATACATACATTTTCTTAAAAACCATCTTTTTTGTGCATGTGCGCAGTTGCATTCCTTAGGATAGAATAATATGATATTGCGTTTACACTGTCATGTATCCAGTCTAAAGGAGTATAGGTGATCTCTAGTCTTTGCAACAGGTAATATTGTACAATAATCATTTTAAAATACATTGTTGTAGGTTAAACACCCTCTTTACTCACATGCTTGGCAAAAATGTTTTCTTTCTTCTTCTGATCTGACAAGGTTTGGAACCAAGTGTTATCATGCATACACACTTTCACACCAAACACACAAACATGATGGAAGGGAAGTTTTATCACATTAGAAGGGACTTCTTCTGAATGATAAACGAGATTTAAAGAACAAGAAATATTTTTTTCCTGCAAGTGCATGATGTAAGAGATGGTAGTGATAGAACACACTCTGTAAAGAAAACCCAACATCGATTTTAACGTCAAATTGGTTATCTATCCTTCATTATTGAGCACTGATTGGACATTGTGGTTGTATACTCTACACCCATGCAATAACCGAATCTAGTTACCAATACAAAAAATAATGTATCATCAAATGTGTACCTCTTCAGTACTTTAATTTTAGTTAAGCTAATAACAAAGGACCTGATGCTACAAAAAATTGTTTAATATTTACAGTGATTTTATCCTCTAACCTGGGAGAGCTTTCCAAGGGCTATGATGCTTTTTTTTTTAGACTTTCTATTTATGCTACTTTTCAGTTCCAGACTGTACTCAGACTAGTTTTTAAAAGATTGTCCTTTCTTCTTCCACACTATTCTCCAAAACAGTGGTTCCCAAACCTCATAATGGGAATAAACTTTAACGCCACACCAAACACTAGCGCTGAATTACATTCAGACAATTTCGGATGTATTGAAGCTACTCAGTTGTCAATAATTATCTGCTAAACAAGATATAAGGCTACAGTTGAATTTATTAGAGGGGAAAGTTTTATTTACTACTGGGTGGAGTATGCAATACTGGCTACTAATCTATAGAGACAATGAGGGCCCCGCTAGACCTTACAATAAAGCTGATTATTATTTAAACAGCGCTCCTTCATTTTCCAAACTAAACTGGTGTCTAGAGATTTTAATGCTGACCCAACCCACAGCGGGGTCATGACCCCAACTTTGGGAACCACTGCCCCAAATAACTTTACAGCTGTTATCCTTTTTCAACGTCAAACTGGCAGTTTAAACTCTCCACTTAGTTCAACTCTCAATCTGTGAAACACATCTACAAACTTAGCTTTTGTGCCTCATATCATGCACCGATCCAAATGGTTTAGTTTCAAAGATAGCAAGACCAGTAGAAGCACTTAATGGTGAGGTGATAACTAGTGGTGATGCTACTTTAACTCAAGAATGTTTAGGTTTGGAATATAGACCAATGCAATTGTGACTGATATTACTGATTGTGTCATTATTTGTGGCTAAATTACTGTGATCTAATTTGATGAGATTCAGCAAAGTATCCAAAAAGTTACAGTACAATACAGATTGTTTTTGCAAAAATCAATCCAATCTGTTATTACATTGGTATAACCTACTACTAAAATGTTTAGAACATTTCTATATTTGATTTAAGTATAAATTCAAGTGGGAGAAAATCTGTTGGTAATTAGATTCCAATTTAGTGTTCCCAAAACTCTTCCCTAAATCTTCTTGCAAAGTTCATGTTAAGTTAGTTAGTTTTCATTCCATATGGATTTTATACGTGATCTTAATTCCTATACACGTGGATTATTCTTAGTTTTAAATTTAGTTTCAATTTTGCTTTGTCAGTTAATGTTTTTTTTGTTTTTGTTTACATTTTTCCAAAGCTGACTGAGCTTGCTTTCATCTGACTTTATTAAGAAATAATCACTTTAAACAAAATCAAAGGTGTCACAATCTTCTATCCCATGAGTCAGATATTTGGTAAATTGAGTTGATATTCTCTTTAGAGAAACATCTTTCAGTAGTACATTGCTTATACGGAATTGCACTTGCTAAATTAATTTAGCAAGAGCAATTAAATCCTTTATCCATGTATGGTTTGTTCTCTTCAGCTCACCTCACTTTGAATTTTAAGTTGGGGAGATGAGATGGACATCGGCTAAAATGCTTGATTTCCATTTGGTCTGTTGATTCAGTCATATATTTTTGATTCTGCTGAAAGCTTCAATTTAATCCATTTTCAATGTATCTAGTGTAAATTTTCAATTTCAATATTTAGAAGAGGTTATGATACAGTGCAATATAATACGAATCCCAGGATCCCAGGAAAGAGAAACAGGTCCACAGTATCACAGATCTTCCACCATACTTAGCAATGGTTTATCCTTGGTGAGCAACACACCAAATGTCCATCACTCATCTGATAAAACATGAGATTGCGGTAGGGGCAACTTTAACTAAGAGGTGATAGTCATCTAAGTTTAACTCTGGACTGGCTGCCAACTGAATCTTGTATTTTCAATAATGCATGCATGGGAATGTGGCTCTCATATAAAATCTTTTGAGTGGTTGGCATGATAAGAACAGCACTATATAAGTTGAATGGATTTACATTTCTGACTTAAAGGTCCATTAGAGTTTAGCAAACTCAACATGTTTGTAACAAAGGGCATGAAAGGCCGTTTTTTTCTTCTTTTCTGTCATGTCTTGAGTACAATCATTTGGCATGTGACCCCAGTACGTCACTGTTGAATCAGTTCTTATTTCACAGTAATTGTAGAGGTGTTATCATTAATTGTGGCACAGGTGGTTATAAAGAATATCTGACAATGAGATTTTTTTCCCTTTCAATAATCAATGGATCCAAATAAAGAGTTTTTTTAGTCTTTTTCTACTGCAATATATCAAATTATTTTAAAACACACATTTATCAGATTGCCAATCATTTTAGAAAGGGCTGCATTTTAAGTCAACATTACAAAGCCATCTTATAAACCAAACGTTAAATAAAATATATAATCAGTTATGCCTGTGCTGCAGTCGAACCCTGCTTGGTTAGTTTTTCTTCATAAGGGTTGAAAATAAAAAAGAACAAACTGTTCCGTGTTCCACGGCGGCATTGAGAGGTCCCATTTAGACAAAATTAAAACAAGTTTTTGGTCTAATTCAATAGAATCTGACAAACACACTTGCACACAATTTTTTCATTTCATGCAGTCACCAAAACATACAATACATCAAATTCGCTCTTCAAAAGGACCCAAATCTGAGTCCAATTCTCATGCTTCAGAGAACCATCTGAATTCCAACATCAGCAGAACAAAAAAACCTGAGTGTAAAATAAGTTGCTATAAAATGTGCTATTATCGGATGAAGGTTACCTGCATGGAAAGGATATGAAAAATGTGTGCAATCATTCTGTGCTGCACTCATTCAAGCTACAGTAGTTTTTACAGTACTTGTGGGATAAGATGGTGTTGAGACTCTTCAGAAATGTCTGCTACTACGGTACAAAGACTACATGGGGCTGCTGTCTGGTTGCTGCATAACATGTTAAAAAAAAGAAAACTTGCTTGTTTTTATATGCTGTATAGGAAACATCAATAGCCTTAATAACTCAGAGAAAGAAAAATGAATCTTAAGTAGCACAACAAACATTAGCTTTTGTAAAGAAAAATAGGTTTTGCGACATTTAGCTATTTAAATAAAGAATTAAAAAAAGCATCTCTCTGATCGTAATCACACAAATTGTTGGAAAATGGGAAAGCAAAGCTTCCATTTTTTTCTTTTCATTAGGTATTATTGCTGCGGTAAATCTGGCTGATCTTTCGACCATATATGTCTATTGTGTTTTTTGTGTGCTTTTTCTAGAATGTACCATGCCCTGCAAAGGTATTTATAGTAAACATCTTCACATATTATAATGAAACAAATTTAAACTTCAGTACATTTTAGTTGGATATTTTCTGAAGGCAAAGATAAGGTGGCCGACAGGAGCAAACAGATGAATGATCCAAACTCCATAACATCAAATAGTAAAGGAATACAGTCACAAAAAACGCATCAAAATCTTATGACAAGCGAAACTAATTCAGAGGAAAAAATTTGTCAAATACCAAAAACAGTACGTTTTAAGAAGCTGCAAACTTGACCCAAAAGGAGTATGCATTATCCACTTACTTAAATATACTTCTGTTCCATAATATGGAACCAGATTATGACCACATGCTTAAAAAAGAAAAAGGAAAACAGATTTCCTTCTTTCCTCTATCTTTCTTGTAGGTATCCCATTAATGTCCATAGATATATGGAGGTGGCCACTTCTCTTGGTGATCAGGCGCACTTTTGTTTTGTGGTGCCAGTTTGCAGCCTGTTATAGCATCTGTTTGTTTTTAGTATTTGAAAAATATTTTTTTAATGTTTCTGCCTATTTTTTGTGATTTAAACCTTTTGTTTTTTTGCATTTTTCTGTGTTTGTGTGTATTGGAGTTTGCATAGTTCACTTTTTTGCCATTTTTGGTGTGTTTACTTAGTTGCTGAGTGCTTACTGAAGTCGGACACGGTACTAAGAAAGCTCGGTAGAATTGTTAAGAGGAAGAAAAACTTTTTACAACATTTCAATCTTTTTAAAATGAATAGTCAAAGAGCGTCAGGTAAGGGTTAAAGCTGTCAAGATGTATAACAGATCTGGGCATCTTAAAAGTACTGCTTAATACTCAAGAATATGGCACAACTACAAACGTTTATATTCATGCCTGTTTATGTAAAGTGACATCAATAACATTGAGCAGAAATTCAGTCTGGATTCCCATGGTACCTCTGGAGGAGCTGCAGAGAAGGGACAACCTTTTGACAGGACAAGAATTTTTTGTGCGCCCAACAAATCAGGCCTTTATGGAAGACTGACAAGAAAACAGCAACAATTAAAACAAACTCATAAGCAATTTAAAGTTCTCCAAAAGCAATGCAGTGGAGACAGCCTACAAGAATGGAGATTGGTTTTGAAAGCTATGGAAGCTCTACTTCATGGTCCGAATGCAAAACAAACACTGCATCTACCTGAAGATGCTTTTCTTTAGCAGCTACATGGAAGCTGGCCTGAAAGATGGAAAGACTCCTCAGGCTTGAAATAGGGCAATTCTGAAAGAAAATCTGAAAAAGCTTTAGGCAGAGGTGATAGCTCAATTTCCAGCTGGAAAACTTTCCTCTTCAAATATTTGGAGAAACATTTCTATGGATATGTATCTGCTAAAATGGCCCAGTCAATGTCTAGACTTAAATCTACATCAGAATATAAGGTATGACCTTAAAATGTATGATCTCTATCCAATCTAACCAAGTCTGAGCTGCAGTGCAAAGACCAATGGGCAAAAGCTGGTAGAGACATACCAAAAAAGATTTACCGTACACCTTTATTTGCATTAAAATGTAGCTCTCATATGGTGTTGCTGAGTTGTAAATATATGCTATACTCTTTAGGTTTTTAAATGAAAAAGCTTTTCTTCCTCTCCGCAATTTTGCAATACTTAAAATTCCAATAAAATAGATTGAAATTAGGGGAGATATAAATACCTTTGCAAGAAACATGTACAGAGAGTTCACGAGTTTGGGGTCAGTGATAACTGGACAGTCACAGTGCAAAAATACACTTAAAAGCCAAAATCTCAGTGATTCCTGCATTCCATGCTTTTGCTTAGGATTAATAAAAATGTGACAGTGATGTGTCACAGTGGATATAAAACAACAAAAACAAAGATAACATGGAGCAGATAGAAGAGACCTGTGACTTTGAATGCATATAGAGTGGGGTCACTGATAGAGATGCTAAAAAAGAGATATGCTACAAAGAAAATTGGAAGAATAACCAAAATGCTTATATGGAAGGAAAACGTTGAGATATTTATCATAGAGACGCTGTGCAATGCTGTCAAGCAATCATTTCTTTTCAAAGGAAAACATTCTGACGTCTTTAAAACACTTGAAAACACGAGGGAATTAAAGAGAATCAAATCTCTAACAGATTCAATCAAAGGGGGAAACCAAAGTGTACAGATACCAAAGAGAAAGCAAACTTCTCTGAGAATAAATCTAAATAAAAACACTGACACGCAGATGGGAGCTCACAAGCAGAGAAGAGCCAGCGGCCTTCTCCTAGCAGAGGTCTAGCACGCTGTGACATCACAGAGACAACAAGCCTATCTGGGAAGCCCAGGAAACACAAGCAGCAGAGCAATTTAAACACACACGCGCACACGTGTTCACATGGCATAGAGTGCATATATCACATTAAGAATAAGAGGAAAAAGGGTCCAGTGGCAGAAGCGTTAATAGGCTCAGCAGAGGCTTAGCTGCATACACAGCCAACCTTCAAGGGACTTGTGTTTTTTTTTTGTTTTTTTGGCTGCACTGGTAATGGACTCAACTCGCTGCCACACTGCTTCATTTAGGGGACAGGAGGCCCTTTTAAAAGGGACTGCCTGTAACCACCCCTGCACAGGCTGGCACCTGTAGCTTCAGTTTGTACTCCTTCAGTTTGTAGATAATGACAGTTCAAAAGGTCAAAGGGCATGCACCAGCAGTTATCATGCGATTACAGTTCACAGGAAGCACTTTGTTGCTTTTTTTTTTTAGCTGTCTTACGAACATTTATATATTTTTTTGTATAAAAATGAATCATCATGCCTTTTGTTTAGTTATAGTTTTCTTTACAAATGTTATAAAACTACAAGTTCAACTCCTCTTTTTTGTTTTTGTCTTCTTTTGTTTTGTGGTGCTTTGTGATCACAGGTTGAGGATATTTCTGTTGTCCTTGCATCTTTGTCCTTGCATGTTTTTTTTGTTTTGTTTTTCATCTTTTTCTCCTCTTCATTTTTCATTTCCATCTTCTTTCTGGTCGTGTTTTTGTGGTAGGTGTTTTGGCAGTGGGTTTCCGGTCCTGAAATACATCAGAAACAGTGAAAAGGAGTAAATATACATTCAATATAATTTTGGCCTGTAAGAAGGTGATAAAAAGATATGACAAAAGGTAAAAACAAAAAAGGTTGGAAAGCTGTGTAAAATGCATCTAAAATGAGAATATCATACATTCAAACAGGATAAAAAATAACTATTCAGATGCATTTCAAAACTGAATAATCTGAAAATGTTCATGGATTAATATGTGTGCACTCTTTATGGGTACTAATTTGTGGCCTTCAGAAAAGGATGTTAGCTACCAGCACTACCATTATGTTTACAGAGGCCATTGAAATTCTCTTTCACTACGCTCCTGCAGTTTCTTTTTAATTTTCTAGACATGTCACCAAACTTCCAGCTGTTTAAACATATTCATGAACATTGGAAACAAAGCATTTATGTCAAATTTAACTAAATCATGAAAAAAAAGTGCTGAATTTGGATTCTCTTGTATTTTTAATTTTTTTTATATCTAAATTTATTTAGATGAGGTCTGTTATAAATTATATTTCACTTTCAATTTTGAAATCATTGACAATTCACTGAGGCGCAGCTTTGCATCTAGTAGAACCTTTTTTGTCTGGACTTGCAGTAAAAAAGACGCTTTCATTCCCAAACAGCATAATTTTATCTGAGGCTTCTTTCAGTAGCTTAAAAAAATGAAAAGATCAATGAAACAAACACTAACAGCATAATGTGGCAAAAGCAACCTGACTTCCGCTCAGTTTTTTTCTGACTATCCAGGAGTCTTCAGTGGTGTCAGTTTTGTCGGCTCATGACAGTGCGAGGGAGACTACTGTTCAAACATCTTTAATAAAAAAGTAAGAGAAATTCTAGGTTCTTCATGTGGTTTTTGTAGCTCTTTGACTGGGTAGTTCTGTTGGAAAACACAGTCAGTGCAAACTGAATAACCCAATTTTCACAAGATTGATTAATTCGGTTCCTCTTGAAACAACATGACCTAAATGATTTTTCTTACACCACTGATGGTTTATCTGATCTATCAAAAAAATATATATATCACTTAGGGTACAAATAAAAAAAGGAAATTTCCAGGAGCAAAGCTGGTGACTGGTATTCTTTTATTAAAGTCAGCATAAAGCTCACTGTTCATACTAATAAAATGAAAAAACAATCCCCTGGACTTTTTGTCCAAATTTGAAAACATTTTGCTTCTTGTCTAGGAAGCTTTTTCAAAAAAAAAAAAAAAAAAAAGAAAAGAAAAAACAAATATCAATTTTTTACTTTTTTGGAATGACAATGACCTGGATGACTGATAATCTTTACCAGCATTTCATACACATATATTTGTCCCTAATGGATTTAACACAGCCCTAAAGGAATACAGACAAAGGTTTATGTCATAACTATAGTTTAAATTAACGATGTGTGCCACATTAGCTAGAACAGATTAAAACGACTCTAAAATATTGCGGTCACACACATTTTCTAAAGCTGCATCCAACATTGTTCAGAGGTGTATTGATGGACGTTCTATGGGTTAGGCATACACATTTTTTTTTTTTTTTTTCCATAGCGTTTTTTATTGTCATTACACTGTCACAAGTACAGTATATAGTATATATATCTGACAGCTGAAGTATCTTATTGAGCAGGATTATTATACAGTACAAGGTTACTGCATTGGGTATTTACATGGGTATTTGTATAGAGGGGTATATATATATATATATATATATATATATATATATATATATATATATATATATATATATATATATATATATATATATATTGGACTGGGTATCATATATAAAGAAACAGGTTATTGCACAGGGTATTAAATTTAAACACATATACCTTGTAGTTTTCTAGCATTCAAATGAAAACACAAAATCTATTCCATACAGTAAATGGGATCCTTACTTTCTCTATAATTTTCCAGATCTGCTATACGAAGTAGCATCATGACATGAGTGCTTCCATCTCTGTGTTTTGAAGAATGTTTTGTGCATTAAAACTACTTTTGGAATTTGAAAATAAAAGGAAAAAAAAAAATCCAATTTGAATTAGGTCAGTAGAGAATTTAAACGTTTGCCAAATGACTGCAGCCTGTCTTTTTCGATGTAACATTTTACACAACAACCAACCTTTTTTATTCAAACAGCGTTATAGAAATAAGGTTCTACCAGGGAGCGACGGCGCAATGCTGTCAAAGCTTGTGCAAAAAACTATTAGGCTCTATCAGATTTTTAAAATTAATCACACAGGTAATTTTCCAAGCACTGGGTTGCACAAGTGCTTGTTTTGTTGTCCCGTACCTGAAGGATCGGGTAGTATACGTGTATTTCAGTGTTTAACTCTCCGCAGACTGGTGCGCTGCAATGAATGAGCACCCTTTCTTACATCCGCCCCCACCTGGAGCAAGGAGGGCAGGAGGAGGGAAGGAGACAACACTTGGACCAGTTAAGTGCTGCAACAGGGCAGGAAACTAACCATGGCTCACAAGTTTAGGGTCTCATAGGGCTTTATGTTTAGCAGTCAGCCAACCAAATCAATCACTGTATTAATAAAATTCAACATTTTTCTTACTATATGTTGAGTTTTTCATTGTTACTAACTGATCTGAGTCATAGTTTTCTTGTTTTATCTGTCTAGCAGAAAAAAATCCTTCCTTTATATTAAAAAATCCCTTAAAGTTAAATAAGAAAATACTACAATTTTAATAAAAAATGTGCAGTTTCTTAGTACAACACGTTCATAAATGACACAGGTTAGACAATAAAAAAAACATTTGTGACCTTTGACTATAAGTAAACCTTAAGTGCGGACGTTATTAAGTGAACCAAAAGCGACATACGAACTGCACTAAGGAGAGCATAAACATTCCCTCCCATCATACAGTAAGCTGCAGTCAGTCCTGTGCTGATGAAATGCAGCTATGCTGCTGCTCGGTCCCATGTCTGACATCTTTCAATTTATCTGGAATTTTTGAAATAAAAAGGACTTCCCTTTGCAAACATTTTTTTTTATTTTTGCAAATGTGCTCCTGGCATTCTGAGGTGTTTAAACCTATTGCCTCGGATTATTGCCTTGCATGGATTTCGGGGGACCTGGTGCAGTTTATACATTGTGACTAAGAACCTTGTCATGTAATTTGAAGGACAGCACATTGTTTGAGTAGCAAAGGATGCCAAAATAACAGCACCAGTGAAAAGCAGAGAAATTATAAAAAATGCAACTTTAGCTACTCTATATAGGTGCATGTTGGTAAAAATTTAATACTATTAATACTTGAAATAAGCCATTGTATAATAAATGAAAAAAGGCATTTTCCTCTTTGTGCTACACTTGCCCGTATAAGATTATTATAGTATAAAAATCCTGAGGAAAATTACTATTTTCTGTGGTTCCATTTAACAAATCTTTTAGACAGTTAAATTTTTTTTCTCATTCATACTATATACCTCTATTAGGTAGATCCTGAAATGTTAAGACAGTATTTTGAGGAAAGAGTAAACAGTTAGATTGCTGCCATTTTTTTAGTGCACATTGGAATAGTCTTAGGTAAATTAAGAAGTTCCCTGTATGTTCTTCAAATTAATAGAACAAAATATGTTGGTAAAGAACACAGTTCAGAGCAGAGACATACAAACCTAAACCAGACACAAAGGATGCTTCTCGCTTATTACCTTGTTATTAAGTTCTGATCCAGCAACATTTAACTTTAAGGTAATTAGATGCAATATCTTTGAAAAACTCTGCCGTCCATTGTTTTAAAGCAGTTTTTATTTTACTACTGCTATTTTTTTTATAGATGGGTTTACAATATTTGATGAAAACAATGACATGGATATAGCTTAAAACAAGGCCATCCCTTTTCAAGTGTGACTCATGGAGAATATTAAAAGAGCAATCATCTTACTTTTCTTGAAAGCGCGATTCCGCGCTCCTCAACAATCTTTGCCTCCGCTGAAAAGTCTTCCTTCTTCACGCCTTCTTCTTTCTGGAAAAAGACAGACCGACTTGAATGAAGTCAATGATATAAAGCAGCATTGAATGATTAAGCTGTGTGTGGATTATGTGATATTATGGTAAAACAATTTTTTCTTTTAAGAAAAAATCCTTTTGATCTGGGTCAATTTATCAAAAATGACCAATCATCAGTTTTGATGATTGCTGAGTTGTTAATTTAAATAGAAAAAAAAAGGTTGGATATTAATTTAAAAGAAGTTAAAAAGATGAAAATGTTTTTCCTCTTCAGGTACAGGAAGCGGCGGGTGGTCGGCATTGCAACCTGACCTGGCCTCGCCTCTGCTCCTGCTCCCAAGGTTGTTGGCCCGCCTCGTGATGAGAAAAGCCCGGCCCTGTGTCAAAAGGCTTTGCGCCCTTTAGGAGGTGCCCACGCAGCATATAAGAGTAACTCGTATCACACACCGGAGTCAGTAGGGCCTCCTGCGCTGTATGCAAGCCTGGCACGCTTCCGTCGTATCCTGATGATACCGAGCCCACCCAGCCCTGCAGGGAGTCCTTGTCTGGCAAGTATGGCTGAAACGCACCTCCTCCCACCATCCTGCAAAGCAGATGGATACAGAACTGGTTATTAGCAGAGAAACTAGGTGTACAGGACTTTTAAATTGCATGACCTTGATGACGACGTACCGGTTGTCCCCGTTGTGTTCTGGTGGCTGATCTAGCCCAGTAACCTCACCATGCTGGGCATACACCTGCTGGCCTGTAACAAGAGAAATCCCTTCCACTGAACCCAGCCCCACACCTCCAGCTACTCCTTTACTTCCTCCTCCCACTTCCACAGCAACACATCTCCTTGCATCTGACCTCTGACCTCCCAGTTGCCCATTCAGATTGACTTTGGGAACAGCGCCACTGGCCCTCACCCTGTCCCATTCTGCCAGTGCACTTGCTGGCTCTTGTGGTACCTCCTCCTCCTCAACCTCCCCTTCCTCCTCCTCCTCCTCCTCCTCTTCTTCCAGCTCCATTATGGAACCACTGGCCCCACTGGCTCCACTGCTTGGGTGACCCAAGCTGCAGGGCAATGAAAGGGTGGCACCCTCAGAGTCATCGGCTCGACTGCTACCATCTAGCGACGAATCCTCAACGGTGACCAGAGAGGGGCTAACCCCTGCTGGCCACACTTGAACATCCGACATCTCCATTAAAGTGTCTTCTTCCGTGGTGGCAATAGGTGCACACTCCAGGCTGGAAACTTCCTGCCAGTATGGTTCCACACCCAATGGAGAGGGCAAGCTGTACTGCATGGAGGCCGGGGACACAAGTTCCTCCTGCACCAGCCCATAACCTGGAAGTAAGACAGGGGCGAGACAAAAGAAAGACTAACACCAAGCAAGCACAGCCATGGGGTGGGGGTAGGGGGGGTGGAGGGTTCATATGTCGACTGTTTCTCCAACCTATATAAGAAACAGTGGAGCTTAGCCATGTCCCAATACACAGAGACTCTTAATTCTATAATTTAAATTGATCAGTTAGGAAAATATATTTTTTTTTCCAGTACTGCATTTCATTAAAATCTAACTGAAATGTACAGCTTGTACTCTGTAAAAAATAAAAACCCTAAACACAATTTGATAAAAAAAAAAAAAAAAGAAAAACGCCTTTTCTCTTTCTTATCTAGAGTTGGCTAAGAAGCAATTTTGGGCATTTGATTTTTCTATACAGTAAGTGGGGTTCTGTTAGCAATATTAAGAGGCCCATTTCTGACCAGTACAAAGTGGGGAAGAACAATGGAATCTGCGGGAGAATGAAATTGAACTTATGTACTAATAAGTCCAGCGGTTTATATATAAATACATTTAAATGTAGAAACTGTTACTGTACTTAGGTTCAGTTAACAGAATTAAACATTACATTAAAATGTTGATACCATGTTTGTTTGACAAAATAAATTAGATGCACTTCATTGGTTTTATCTCTTAAATTTTAGTTAATAAAGTAAATAAATGGTAGTAAGGCAATACATTTTCTCAAATGATTTGTGTTAAATTTACTTTTCAAATTTTATAGTGACCCAAAGTTGTAAAAACTTTCCCATTAGTAAGGCACAAAATGCCTCTTATTTCAACATAATAGACGTCTCCAAGACAGGGCATTATGCAGATCAGCCAGAAGAAACAATTGAGTGTAATTATAATTTTTATATGGCTTTTCTAGTTAAAGTGAACTTGAATAAAAAGTCGGCATCAATGGAAAAGTATGAATATTTTGAAAATGCGATGAAAACTGTTTATTGTTCAGCACAGGACTTGTCATTGGCAGCATAACTCAGTATTTGGTTTTCGATCTGATAAAATCCAGCGTCTATATGCTTTATATGCGTATCCATATGGATGGGCCCTGTTTTGTGTGATAAATGAGACTCCAGATAATCATAGTATTAACTACTACAGAAAAGGAAACCCCTTTTAACAGAAACCCACCTAAAAGAAGTTCATAAGCAAGTTCTAAAGTTAGCTCCTTGTTTGTAATAAATGAACGATAAGAACATTAATAACCTTGTCAAATGTTTACTTGTTCAAAAATGAAAGGACAAATCAAGCAGAACTTGTTTCAACCTTCCTGTAGTTTTTTTTATTAGATTCTATTGTTAATATAAATTAATTAATGTAGTGCCAGAAATGTCATCTATATAAAAAACAAAAACAAACAAAAAAAAACCTCCTGCGTTATTTTTTCCGCTTGAATAGAGATTAAGATTAGATTTTTTCCTTATTTCATTCTTAATGATACTTTGCTGTATTGATAAAGGAAAATGATCCTTTGTGCAAAGAATTTAGTCCAGGTCTTTGTCATTGGGACACAGCATTATGTGCAAGGTGTGAGGGAAAACAGTAAGAGCTTCGTGGATCATCCGTTGCCTGTGAGGTGAATGATGCAGGGCTCTTGTTTGCTACCAAGTAAAGCAAGTGAGTCTCCAGAACTTAAACTGTACCAGAGAAGAGAAAAGGAAAAGTGTTGTCACATGTTGATTTTGGGGTTGGCACGATATTTATTAATATTGAAGACAAATTTATCTATTTCTGCAGACTGTTCATTTGATTTTACCCAATTAGGATATTTTCTTTCATAATTATTTAAAAAAATGTTGTAAAATTGCACTGAAAAAACTCACCAGTTCAGGAATATCATTGCTATATTGTAAAGCATTAAGCAACCCTGCTGTATAAGCGTTATCGTTCCAACCCATGTTATAAGTTCCTGAGTAGGACTCAGCTGTAGACATTGCTAAGGAAAATGCAAGCTGCTGTTGGTCTTGCATTTCCCAATATTACAGCTGCAATTTCAAAACATGCGTTCAAGTAAGAATCCCTTTACACTCATTCACACAAATCTACATACTCCCATCAAACAAAGAAAACTGATTTGAAACTGATCTGAATTATAAAAACCTGTGGAAAGGCTATGAGTGGTTAGTGTTTTACCCACAGCTGATAACTCCTTCAGGCAGTGTTGGCTCAAAGCTCTCTGCTGCCACAAGTAAGACAGATTAGAGTCAAAAGGTCCAAAAATTGAGCAAGAATGTGAACGTTAATGTGTACTTGGCCAGAGTAATGATTAGGTGCAAGGCTCAAGAGTAAAAAAATAAATAAATAAATAAAGGCCTAAACAGAATGTTTTCAATCTTGTAGCAGATTGCTCTGGTAAAAGCTATTATGAGCTATTATTGAAAACAACTATAGACTCACATGCAAATATTTATGGCTGCAGCCTACAGTAGTTTAAAGGTTTGTGTGGATGAAATGACATGTACGGGGAGACTAAGGACGGTTGCAACAATGTTTTTCTCTTACAGTAATTATTCAGAGGTGACTGGGCCTACAACTACCATTTATTTTTAAATAAACTCAAGTCAACTGTTGTAACTATCTCCCTTCCCCGGATGGTTGCAACAGAACTCAGGAACTGGCATGTTGGTTTGTAGTTTTTTGGCCCAAGCGCAGTTTTATATACAAAACAACAAGAATCTAGAAGCGGAGAACTACAGGAAGTCTGTTGAAAACCTTCCAGACTCAGGAGATAAATTGCCAACCCCTTTCTGATGGGGTTTCACAAGGGATTCCATGAGGACGAAAAACAGCTGTCTCAAGGGAGGATGGAAGACAACCAAGAGGGATGAGGTGGCAGTGTTCGAAGAAGCGGCTGATCAAAGGATGGTGGTGAAACACTTAGATGGTGGTAGTACAGCAAAAAAATCCAGGGCAATATGAGACCACAGACGTTTAGAGATAGGCAATCTTTGAATAAGACCACTGGGAGGTTGGTGACGGGCTTTGTTGTTGGCACACACTGGACAGGCCAGAACATAACTTTTAACATCCTTATATATTTTAGGCCACTACAAATTTTGTTTAAGGAGTGCGAAAGTCCGGTTCAAGGTCCAGTGCCAGGTCCGGTTAAGACGGCTGAGCCTCCATGATTTGATCATTTATTTCCCACAATAAGGCCCCTACAATGCAGGAAGACTGAATGATAGTTAA